TCACCTCAGGCTGCAGTCTAACCACACAGACTCACCTCAGGCTGCAGTCTAACCACACAGACTCACATCAGGCTGCAGTCTAACCACACAGACACACCTCAGGCTGCAGTCTAACCACACAGACTCACCTCAGGCTGCAGTCTAACCACACAGACTCACCTCAGGCTGCAGTCTAACCACACAGACTCACCTCAGGCTGCAGTCTAACCACACAGACTCACCTCAGGCTGCAGTCTAACCACACAGACTCACCTCAGGCTGCAGTCTAACCACACAGACTCACCTCAGGCTGCAGTCTAACCACACAGACTCACCTCAAGCTGCAGTCTAACCACACAGACTCACCTCAGGCTGCAGTCTAACCACACAGACTCACATCAAGCTGCAGTCTAACCACACAGACTCACCTCAAGCTGCAGTCTAACCACACAGACTCACCTCAGGCTGCAGTCTAACCACACAGACTCACCTCAAGCTGCAGTCTAACCACACAGACTCACCTCAGGCTGCAGTCTAACCACACAGACTCACAGCAGGCTGCAGTCTAACCACACAGACACACCTCAGGCTGCAGTCTAACCACACAGACTCACCTCAAGCTGCAGTCTAACCACACAGACTCACCTCAGGCTGCAGTCTAACCACACAGACTCACCTCAAGCTGCAGTCTAACCACACAGACTCACCTCAAGCTGCAGTCTAACCACACAGACTCACCTCAGGCTGCAGTCTAACCACACAGACTCACCTCAGGCTGCAGTCTAACCACACAGACTCACCTCAGGCTGCAGTCTAACCACACAGACTCACATCAGGCTGCAGTCTAACCACACAGACACACATCAGGCTGCAGTCTAACCACACAGACTCACCTCAGGCTGCAGTCTAACCACACAGACACACATCAGGCTGCAGTCTAACCACACAGACTCACCTCAGGCTGCAGTCTAACCACACAGACTCACCTCAGGCTGCAGTCTAACCACACAGACACACATCAGGCTGCAGTCTAACCACACAGACTCACCTCAGGCTGCAGTCTAACCACACAGACTCACCTCAGGCTGCAGTCTAACCACACAGACACACCTCAGGCTGCAGTCTAACCACACAGACACACCTCAGGCTGCAGTCTAACCACACAGACACACCTCAGGCTGCAGTCTAACCACACAGACTCACCTCAGGCTGCAGTCTAACCACACAGACACACCTCAGGCTGCAGTCTAACCACACAGACACACCTCAGGCTGCAGTCTAACCACACAGACTCACCTCAGGCTGCAGTCTAACCACACAGACTCACATCAGGCTGCAGTCTAACCACACAGACTCACATCAGGCTGCAGTCTAACCACACAGACTCACCTCAGGCTGCAGTCTAACCACACAGACTCACCTCAGGCTGCAGTCTAACCACACAGACTCACCTCAGGCTGCAGTCTAACCACACAGACTCACATCAGGCTGCAGTCTAACCACACAGACTCACAGCAGGCTGCAGTCTAACCACACAGACTCACCTCAGGCTGCAGTCTAACCACACAGACTCACCTCAGGCTGCAGTCTAACCACACAGACTAACATCAGGCTGCAGTCTAACCACACAGACTCACCTCAGGCTGCAGTCTAACCACACAGACTCACCTCAGGCTGCAGTCTAACCACACAGACTCACAGCAGGCTGCAGTCTAACCACACAGACTCACCTCAGGCTGCAGTCTAACCACACAGACTCACAGCAGGCTGCAGTCTAACCACACAGACTCACCTCAGGCTGCAGTCTAACCACACAGACTCACATCAAGCTGCAGTCTAACCACACAGACTCACAGCAGGCTGCAGTCTAACCACACAGACTCACCTCAGGCTGCAGTCTAACCACACAGACTCACCTCAGGCTGCAGTCTAACCACACAGACTCACCTCAGGCTGCAGTCTAACCACACAGACTCACCTCAGGCTGCAGTCTAACCACACAGACTAACATCAGGCTGCAGTCTAACCACACAGACTCACCTCAGGCTGCAGTCTAACCACACAGACTCACCTCAAGCTGCAGTCTAACCACACAGACTCACCTCAGGCTGCAGTCTAACCACACAGACTCACCTCAAGCTGCAGTCTAACCACACAGACTCACATCAGGCTGCAGTCTAACCACACAGACTCACCTCAGGCTGCAGTCTAACCACACAGACACACATCAGGCTGCAGTCTAACCACACAGACTCACCTCAGGCTGCAGTCTAACCACACAGACTAACATCAGGCTGCAGTCTAACCACACAGACTCACATCAGGCTGCAGTCTAACCACACAGACTCACATCAAGCTGCAGTCTAACCACACAGACTCACCTCAGGCTGCAGTCTAACCACACAGACACACATCAAGCTGCAGTCTAACCACACAGACTCACCTCAGGCTGCAGTCTAACCACACAGACTCACCTCAGGCTGCAGTCTAACCACACAGACTCACATCAGGCTGCAGTCTAACCACACAGACTCACCTCAGGCTGCAGTCTAACCACACAGACACACCTCAGGCTGCAGTCTAACCACACAGACACACCTCAGGCTGCAGTCTAACCACACAGACACACCTCAGGCTGCAGTCTAACCACACAGACTCACCTCAGGCTGCAGTCTAACCACACAGACACACCTCAGGCTGCAGTCTAACCACACAGACACACATCAGGCTGCAGTCTAACCACACAGACTCACCTCAGGCTGCAGTCTAACCACACAGACTCACATCAGGCTGCAGTCTAACCACACAGACTCACATCAGGCTGCAGTCTAACCACACAGACTCACATCAGGCTGCAGTCTAACCACACAGACTCACATCAGGCTGCAGTCTAACCACACAGACTCACCTCAGGCTGCAGTCTAACCACACAGACTCACCTCAGGCTGCAGTCTAACCACACAGACTCACCTCAGGCTGCAGTCTAACCACACAGACTCACATCAGGCTGCAGTCTAACCACACAGACTCACAGCAGGCTGCAGTCTAACCACACAGACTCACCTCAGGCTGCAGTCTAACCACACAGACTCACCTCAGGCTGCAGTCTAACCACACAGACTAACATCAGGCTGCAGTCTAACCACACAGACTCACCTCAGGCTGCAGTCTAACCACACAGACTCACCTCAGGCTGCAGTCTAACCACACAGACTCACAGCAGGCTGCAGTCTAACCACACAGACTCACCTCAGGCTGCAGTCTAACCACACAGACTCACAGCAGGCTGCAGTCTAACCACACAGACTCACCTCAGGCTGCAGTCTAACCACACAGACTCACATCAAGCTGCAGTCTAACCACACAGACTCACAGCAGGCTGCAGTCTAACCACACAGACTCACCTCAGGCTGCAGTCTAACCACACAGACTCACCTCAGGCTGCAGTCTAACCACACAGACTCACCTCAGGCTGCAGTCTAACCACACAGACTCACCTCAGGCTGCAGTCTAACCACACAGACTAACATCAGGCTGCAGTCTAACCACACAGACTCACCTCAGGCTGCAGTCTAACCACACAGACTCACCTCAAGCTGCAGTCTAACCACACAGACTCACCTCAGGCTGCAGTCTAACCACACAGACTCACCTCAAGCTGCAGTCTAACCACACAGACTCACATCAGGCTGCAGTCTAACCACACAGACTCACCTCAGGCTGCAGTCTAACCACACAGACACACATCAGGCTGCAGTCTAACCACACAGACTCACCTCAGGCTGCAGTCTAACCACACAGACTAACATCAGGCTGCAGTCTAACCACACAGACTCACATCAGGCTGCAGTCTAACCACACAGACTCACATCAAGCTGCAGTCTAACCACACAGACTCACCTCAGGCTGCAGTCTAACCACACAGACTCACCTCAGGCTGCAGTCTAACCACACAGACTCACATCAGGCTGCAGTCTAACCACACAGACTCACCTCAGGCTGCAGTCTAACCACACAGACACACATCAAGCTGCAGTCTAACCACACAGACTCACCTCAGGCTGCAGTCTAACCACACAGACTCACCTCAGGCTGCAGTCTAACCACACAGACTCACATCAGGCTGCAGTCTAACCACACAGACTCACATCAGGCTGCAGTCTAACCACACAGACTCACCTCAGGCTGCAGTCTAACCACACTCTCACACACACACACACACACACACACACACACACACACACACACACACACACACACACACACACACACACACACACACACACACACACACACACACACACACACACACACACACACACACACACACACACACACACACACACACACACACACACACACACACACACACACACACACCTTGCGTTTTGAAGACTGATAAATCCGAAATGGATGAACAGCAGCCCAGTTTCCCAGCTTTGCAGTCTATCCACGGGTAGCCTCTTGTTTCCTCCGCCACATCTCCTCCGTCCATACCTCTGGGAAAGGTGAGCTTGAGCTAGCCAAGGGAACGTTGCTAGCTTAGTGCTAACGTGCACGTTAGCTAGCATTATCCACGTCTTTAGGCGGCTCTTCATGTATTACTAGCAGCTTCACTTGTAGCTTCGGTGCTGCTAGCCTCTTTCTTCTTGTGAATTATATTCTTTTTAGAAAAGAAGTCAAGTAAAAAAACGTTTTCCTTCCATTATAGAGCTTTTTCGTTAGCGTTCTTGAGGGAAAGAGCTGCCGCAAAATCGGCGGGCCCCCAGAGAGCTTGCTCACACCTATGTGTTATAGAATACACTGTAAACCCCAACAGTACTACTAACTCATAAGTATTATGGGTACTGCAATCAAAACCAAATATCAAGTCAACCGAACAATAAACTTATACGTTCTTTTAACGAAAAGTGCTGTTTAATTTTATGTGAATCATAGTTTATGAGTGAATATTCAAATTTGAATTAAAACTTCTGAGTGAACAGTCACGCAGCGTCTGACGTCATTACGTCATGACGTTGCGACGAATCGAGAAAAATCCATCCAACATGGCGGCTCTTGCAAGCGAAGGGATTCCACACATGGTTTAACTTGTAAGTACCAAAATAAGTTGTTAAAATTGTTTTTCTTAGTTATAATATTGTAAGGATATACCACCCGAAGATTATATGTGATTGTTAGACCCCATTGTTAAATTCAGAGTTACGTGCAGAGCGCCGCAGTTACTGGCTGCTTCGCGCTATTTTTTGAATGTCGGACTGCCGGTTAAGTAAGGACGTTAACGTTAGAGCAGCAGCATGTTAACTTCAGCTAGAAACTCCTATTAATCAACGGCAGCCCCACTGTTTCTAAGTGTGTTGCTGGTGCTTAATGTTATCCGCTATTATCTGGTAAATGTGATGTTATTCCTGAATTAAGCTAGTAGCTAGCTAGAGCTGTTTTCCACAATTACGTTGAGGCTTACACACAGGCATGTTTGCTAGTGACAGTAAGCTAATGAAAACTGCAAACTTGTATTAAAACTCTGCACATTTCTTTTTGTCGTAGGGTGAAGCTGGTGCATAGCAGTGAGACATGGTTCAATGGCATGGAAGTGCAAAGTGTGTGCTGTCTCGTCAGACACCCGGGCTCAGTTATTTAGGCACTATTGTTTGAAGCATAGCCAGTACTCAATAGTTAGCCCTTTGCCATTTGTCTATGACTCTTGCATTTTTTACATTTCAATCATTTATCATTGCAGGAAGTTGAGAAAAGTGAGAAGAACCTCATCTTGATAGAAAAGCTCATGCAGACGACTTTTGCCCTTCGTCGCCAGGAGATCGTTCAGGAAAATCCCTTGGTCGGGACTTTTTAGAGAAATGTCCTCCGGATGGAATCACAGGTAAAACACAGACGCTCTCAGACGTTTTAATCCGTCTCTTTTCTGCCCCTTGGCACATCTTTCTCATAGTCTGCACACCGTTTTCCAATTTTGCAAAAACTGCCTACTTTGCACACAATGGAACAGTGTTGTTGTTCAATGTTAATTATAAAACAATATTTATTTTTATAATACAAATTAAATGAATACTTTGAATATGATCATGTTGCAATATATTTTTACGGAAACAACTAAACAGGTTGCATCACTAATAATTGTACAGTTGCGTATCCATTAATGATCTTTATACATTTGTGTGTTCCTGTAGGTTTGTGCCGAGTTTCACCGAATCACAAACGTCAACCTACAGAACCAGTTCTTTTCTGAACTAGACGGCCTGCGACTGATTGCCTTGCACAGGCAGAAGGCGGCACGCACTGGCAAGGTATCTGAGGCCCTGCGTGAAATCCTAAGGGTTTGTGATCCAGGTGAGTTTAATAGAAGTTTAGTCCAAATCAAGTGTTTCCAAAGACAGCCGAGGCTAAATGACTTGATTGGAACACGCCATAGTATCGATGCTTATTTACTTTTACACAAAACCACATTCATTCAAATTCACAAATAATAAACAGATATTGTAAAAGATACTGGATTGTATTTTTCAGAAGAGTATCACAAATATAACAATAACAAATTGGGGGGGAAAAGTATTTTAAATTATTTATTTAATTTGACAACAATCAAAAATAAATATGCATATATTAATTTAAAAAGCCATTGCTTTTGAATTATGCTAGTTTTTGCTTGTCTTTCCAGGAAGTACAGGATGTCCACATGAAACGCAATGCAGCCCTTCAAGCCCTGCCGTTATACCTGCTGCGTGAGGAGGACCCACAGTTCTTCAAGTCTTGGAGCGTAAGTATTTAGTGCACTCAAAGTACTGCTAGTGAGGTCAGAATGTGTGCTTGTAAGAAACTGTTTAGCTATTTTACCCTTCCAGTTTAAAAAAAAAACAGACGGGAGCAATCAAAACATATGTTCAGATATATAAAAGAAAGGTTCACCTAAACACATTTTTGAAATACCTTCCTATATACTTACCTGTTGAGGAATATGTGAATGAGATGTTTAGTTACTTCAAGTCAACCTTACAGGTGGACTCTATGCATTTCCAGGCAGAGGAGGTGGACCGGCCAGACATCACCAACACACCGGTTGCTATGGTCACCGAGGGCACTCCAAGTCAAGTTGATCTCAGTCCGGCAAGTACTGCTATTCTGGTGGAAGGTGATTTCGTCATCAGCAATATCCGCAGGATGGCGGATTCCTTTGCATTGTTGTTCGGCTTGATGTACGTCAGTGACCACCAACTGGCGGCCCGCGGGCCACATCCGGCCCGCCAGACATTCTCATCCGGCCCACACGACGGGGGTGACTGTGGCGTTGGCGGAGTGGTTACTGCGTTCGCCCCCCACCCATTTCTTTGTTTACAACGTCCCGTGAGTAAGGTGCAGTACCGGAGTCCAACAGAGAGGCAGCAGCTGCAGGACAGTAGACTGCGTACTGCGAAACCTTCCCTCCCTTGAAGAAGAAGTGATCCTTCGTTGTGAAGAGTCTGGTTAATGCGCTCCGCACCACAGCAGTAGCCCCGCTGCGACAGAGTCCAACAGAGAGGCAGCAGCTGCGGGACAGTAGCCTAGAAGCAGGGTTGGGTTGTAACGGAATACATGTAACGGCGTTACGTAATCAGAACACAAACATCAAGTAGGCTAACTGTATTCAGCTGGAGTTACATTTGAAAAACGAGTAATCTGATTACAGTTACTTTCGTAAACCTGAAGTGAATACATTTTGGAATACTTATTGGAATTATTGGTGGAAAAGTTTCCTCACAAAATGTAATATTCATTACCGGCAGAACTGTGTGCACACTGCACGGCGCTGCAGCATGTCTGTGAGCGAGAGAGATGCAGCGTGTCTGTGAGGCCCCGCCCCCGCACGCAGATGAGAGAGAGATCTCTTTTAAACTATATTGAAAGTTAGAAACGGAGATGGTTACATAAAATGTGGAAGATAACGTTTATGTAGCATTTATTTATTGTCGAGATGATGACATTTATAACGGGATCAAATCAAAGTGAATGGCCTGCTGCTGCTGAATGCCTGGGGCAAGTGACTGGAACAAGTTTTAAAAGTTATTACATCGTTTCAGATAATACATAATAATGATAATTCATTCTATTTAGGGGCGCCTTTCAAAGCACCAAGGACACCTTACAATTCATAACATATTCTAAGGAAAGGTTTTAAGGCAGTACAAAGAATGCAGTCCGGGTGATTTGTTTGATGTGGGTGCAGATGAGAGAGCTGTCCAGAATGACACCAAGATGTTGTGTTTGAGTTCTTGATAAGCCATTAAAACAGTAAAATACGTGTCTCCTGTTCACCAAAACATATCCATCTGTTATGGGGAAAGAAAGTATTCCAAAAGTAATCTGAATACTATTTATAAAATTCTGGGCTATATAAAAATCGCTGGCCCGCGATAGTGTATATTGGTTACATTTCGGCCCTTGGACAAATGTAGTTGGTGATCCCTGATGTACGTGTTACATTTGGACCACACCAAGAAACTCATCAACACTTTCACCTTCATACAGAAAGTGCTGATGGGCCTTGATGATGGTAAACCACTGAAGCCCTGCCTACTCAATCTAAAAAAATGACCTGTTACTGAAAAAGTAGGCCGTGTTACAGGTTGAAACTTTGCACATGCCAATGTTTGTTTTGCACAGTTAAAGGTGGGTAAGTTTGAGAAACCGGCTCGAGATACTCTTGTTGTTATATTCCATGGAATGCTCTTAAAGTCCTGATAGCTATGAATATCTGAAGTGCTTTGAAGCCGTGGCGCTGTAAAAAGCACGACCAATCATCTGAGCCGGCTAAAGTAACTGGATGGCCTACCTGCCTGTCAGCCTTCCATCTGGGCACACACTGATCTCTGCCCTCATTGGTCATGTGCGCGTTCGTGTGTGTTGGAGGAGGGGCTCTGTGAGGAAGTGGCAGATTTTTTTCCGGCTGTGTATTTTCAAATTCTAGCGCACTCGAGCTGGTTTCTCCAAAATTACCGACCCCACCTTTAATTCGTTGCTTAAATCAGTTGAATGATGTTTACATTGGGTAGAATGTCTAAATCTACCTCAGTTGTTAATGTTTGCACTGAAAGTGCTGATGGTCCTTGATGTTGGTAAACCACTGAAACCCTGTGCCTACAGTTGTTCATGTTTGCACTTTAACTGCTATGGCACGCTGTTTGAGTATTTATTTCATATCCTTGATATCAGACAGCAGCTACCTACACTACCTGGCTCATTGATTGCACTTGTTAGATATATGGTCACACTAGTTTGACATTCTGCTTTACTAGTTGAATAACACATTACTAGTCACTCTTTTCAGCCACTAGTGGCACTTTTGTCTGACTAGTTACTAGTGACGCCAGGAGCAGCACTAGCAGCACCAAAGTCCCAACTTGTAAGCTTTTTTGATGAACTCGTGGCCCTCTGACCGAACTAGTGACACTAAAAGTTAACAGCACTGCAAAAACTCAAGTTGGGACTTTAGTGCTACGAGTGCTGCTCGTGGCGTCACTAGTAAGGCTTATGTGGTAACTAGTCGGACAAAAGTGCCACTAGTTGCTGAAAAAGAGTGACTAGTATAATTGTGTATTCAACTAGTAAAAGTGCCAACTAGTGTGACCATATATCTAACAAGTGAAATCAAAGAGCCAACTAGTGTAGGCAGCTGCCGTCTGATATCAAGGATATGGAATACATACTCAAACGGCTTGCAAAACTCCTTGAAATGTTTCTTTTTACAAATAGAAAATATAACTAATTTGTATTAATTTTCCTTTTTTGTGAACAATAAGTACCTTTTGAAAAATGTATAATCTGAATGTGAAATCAATAAAGTATGCTCTCAAATGTAAAGACCACGCTCTTGAATAAAGATAGGGAATAAAAATATATATATATTATGTATATGTATGTATATATGTACATATGTATTCCTATGTGCAGCTGGACAGTGATGACAAAGATCAGCTAATGACTCAGATCATTGGTGAGACATGTTCACTTGTTATATATGTATGCAGGCTCTAACTTATACTAGCCATTATTAATTATAGTTATATGTGGACATGAATGTTTACGGCTACAAATAACTGATTTTTGAAATGTATTTTTTTGAAGTTTTCCCATTGAGTTACAAATATGGTTTTTGTAACTGAAAATAGGCCGCCTTTAACCGTTTTGCTCCAAAAACATGCAACTGTGAATAATGTCCAAGCTGAGAATTTGTCTTTTCTGACCAAAAGTCTAAAACCCAATGACCTGAAGTTTATCGACAAACAGAAAGCATTAAAAAGCTGACATTTAGAAAACTGGAAGCAATTTGTTAATTAATCTTCCATGTCATTTTTCAAACAACAGCTTTGATAATAGATTAATCATCCAACCTTCAGCTTGGTGATTCTAAGTCTCGAGATACTCACTCAAACTCCGGCTCCTTCGACTGTGACAGCTTTTCCAATTCAAGTTCATCTGTGATGAGGCCTCACCGTGCAAGGTTGAGTTGTTCGATGTTGTCAAATCTGATGCTTTTAAAATGCAACAAGGATGTTTAAGTGTGTGTGCCTGAGTGGGTGCTCATCTGCTCCTGACGCTAGCAGCTAAAAACATATTGTTATGCCAGACTAAAGTTCCCTGCCAGACTAGAGTGGCACAGTGACGCATCCTAAAACCCGGAAGTGATTGATTGATTGATTGATTGATTGAAAAGTTTATTAACAGCTTGTATATTGGGTACAGTACAGTACAGCTCAAAACATACAATTGTTAAGGGGATGCAGACCAGAGAAAGACTTTCGTCTTGTTTACATCAGGGTCCCCCAGTTCCAATTCATCATGTCATTTTTAGACAGGGGTGGGGAACCTCCGGCCCCCGGGCCGTATACGGCCCGCGAGACCATTTGGTACGGCCCTCAAGGTAATTTATAAACACACGCAAAAAAGAAAACAATTAAAGAAATCTAGACCGCAAACAATTTAAACAAAGCGAGTGCCTGTTTTTCCTGGCCAAGGTCAGGGTCCTTGAACACAACACGAGCCTAACGTGTCATCACGTGGTACATTTCTCGTCTGACGGGTGCAGTTCTGACGGAGAGCACCAGAACGTCGCTCCGGCACTTCCAGAAATGTCAGTACCCATAAGGAGCCGTGCTGCAGTTCCTGCGTGTCTGTGTCTTTAGCTGAAAGCCCAGTGATCTGTTCATCTGTCACACTGATCATACAGTCAATAACTTTGTTGTTATTAGCATCTGGTTAGCTAGCTATATGCTAACGAATATAAGAAGCTTTTTCTACAACCAGTGAGGTAAAGGCACATCTTTATATGATCATTATAAAAAAATAAGAGAATAAAGTAAACAGGTATAAAATACTATATGACAGTAAAAAAAAGTTGTTATTAATAAACAAGAATACAGTTTGAAAGGAGAGTGATTTGTCAAATATCCATAAAGAAAAGTAAATCTGTTTACAGTTCTGTTTCATCTGGGTTGAGAGATGTTTCCATAGATCTCTCAATGTTGCTCTCAAAGTGCACCAGATTGATGCTTTCAACTTCAACATTTAAAAATAATCTTCCCGGGGGAGCATGCCCCCCGGACCCCCCCCACTTAAATCATGTTCACATGGATAGGAAACAAAATACATTTGCACACATCTTGTGTCCAATATCTTTCTGTTTTGGTGGTCATGCCACACCGTGCACGTGAATGCATGCGCGAGTCATGGTGAGATATCTGGATTCAGAGGTTGCTTTTTCTTTGCACAGAATGAAAGAAAGGCCAAATGAATGAGCTGTGATTTTAGTTTTTTTAAGCAGAGGTCAATCATTTGTACGGCCCTCGGAGGATGTTGTAAAAATTGAAATGGCCCTTGAGAGGAAAAAGGTTCCCCACCTCTGATTTAAGACATATTTGACATACAGATGGCTTATTTACAATTTTCATTTTAGATTTCGTTCTAATACATCCTAACCGGACATTTAAGACATACCAAGTCTACAGATATACAGTTAGTAACAGAGTCTAAAATGCGAGTATATACATAGATGGGGGGGGGGAAGCTGTCCATTGAACGACAGGTTGAGATTTGTACCATTACCGGGGCCAGTTTTGCAATGCTCTCCCCCGAAGGTGCTCTTTAAGAGAGGTTTTGAAGGTAAGTATAGTTTTACTTTCCTTTACAGTTGTGGGAAGAGCGTTCCACCTTGATGTGGCATCATTGCGAAACGTGTATTCCCCCTTTTTTGTGCCAAATCTGGGTTTCACATGATTTGTGGAGCTCCCTCTGGTGTTATGATCATGGTATTCCTTGACCTTTGGGAAGAATGTTGACATGTACATGGGTACCATAGAGGTGTAGTGGATCTTGTAGACCAGGCCCATTGCAAGTAGCTGTACTCTGTCGTCTACTCTAAGCCATCCTAGGTTGTCAAAGTGGGCAGAGGTGAGGTGGGTTCTAGATGAAAGGTCAAGCAGTAGTCTGACCAGTTTA